CCATAATGATTAGATCCGCTGTAATTATACAATCACAAATACTTGCGTGTACATCGGTTCCACAACCCAACAATGACAAAGTGAGGGATCAAAAGATAATAATTATTATTGATGATAGCTCATTCCAGTAACCAAAACAATAGATCGATAGATTCAGAGTGAAAGAGAAAAGGTCACGAGATGTGGCGGTGAGTGGGAGTGGGGAAGAAATGGGGAAGAGAAAAATACACACACACACACACACAATTCACAGGATATCAGTAGTATGTGTGCACGCGTTTGACACGAAGTGCACGGATTAAAACCCAAGAAATTCTTACAGGCAGACAGGCAAAGCGGTGGTATTAGAGAAATTTTCTGTGTAGTACTGCTGGGCCTTCATTCTCATACTCCTGTTTCGTTATCCACATGTTCTTGAACGTATTTAGAGAAGCTAAAATAGAACCACCTGTCCAAGTTGAATAGAGACGCTCAGGCGGCGCTGCTATACGAAGTCTGGAATCTTTAGGTGCAAGCCTCTTCATTTCTAATAAAATACGAGCACCAAATCCTATTGAGAAGAGGACAAATAGGTTAGATATTTCTTGCTACTTATATCTTGTTGAGTAGAAACAAAAAACAAACCTTTGAATAGAGTCGATCCACCAGAGAGAACTATGTTTTCATATAGCATACGACGCAAGTCCATGTCTGACTTCTGAATGGAGTAGCCTAGAACCTAGCAAATAATTAAATAGCACAATGGGTGAGGCAAATATCTGAAATAACAGAGATGAGAATAAATCGATCCTAAGTAGAGCAAATGGCATTTAATAATGAGTAAGTTAACCAAGCATGATAACACTAAGTGAAATTAGTATCTGCACCGATTCGTTAAAAAATGTCCAATTCTGTGTTCATGTTTCTATTTTATAAGTCGAAATATGGTGAAGTGAAAGTGCAAGCGTATATAAACTTTCCGTTTTGCAAACTGGCGCCTAGTATTACCATTCTCCCCAACAGCCCTCAGCGCTCATCACCATCCTAGTAAATGGCCTCAAATACTTTAAAATATGAAGGTCTAAGAGCTTCAAGGGTATAAATTATAACACTTGTATAATTACCATATCCAGAGATGTTTTGATTAAATACTGATGATAATACAGCTGGAAATCGTAGTTATTTAAATCCATTTTAACCTGAAAATTAAATTCCGAAAAAGAGGCCTCACATATTCATCCTAATTGGAGAACTGCTCAATAAAAAGACATAGACCAATCTCTCGATTCAATCTACAAGAAGGTAGTCAAGGACAGAACACTCAATTATAAAGCAACTCAAGAACCCAGGAGTCATATTCTTAAGTAAGACTTTGGAATAGCAAATCATGATGAAATGCCCAAAATATAAAAAAACGAGGTACGTAAAGGAAGGTTCTTTAAATGATCTGGCATTTATACTCTAACTTCACCAACATCCATTCAAAAACCTTTGAAGACCAGGCATGTCATGGTGTTGAAAGATCTTCGATGGTAATATAATAACACTGAAGTTGCCACTGCGGACACCAGCCAATTTTTCCAAATGTATGAATTAGTTAGCAAAAGATACCTGAACCAGTACTGTATTGGTCAGAGATCATGAGATTTAAAGATGTGAATTGCCAATTGCACTGATATAATTCAGATAGAGTGAGGACGGTAGAATACGTGTCACACACACACTGTGAAGCGGAAGGTTAATTTTGAGCATTAATAGTTAGTAGATCGTGGATTACTTGTACCAGCAACTGATGGATACCTTCTCTTTATGCCTTCCCAAGTTCTATGACACCTGCCACTTTACAAAACGGGCTTAAAACACAAACGTGCAGCAAGAGCAACTGCAGGCTCAATCAAGATTCATCCAGAAACAAATGATTCAAAAAACGATGGTGAATCAAAAAGTGCTCAGACAAAGTCCATAATTTATATATATATTTCAAATGGCAGGCGTTATGATAGGTACCATTAGCAATTTAGTTGACTTCGGGCTTCACAGAAAGGAAGAGGAACACCGAAGTGAAAAAAAGTCGAGAGGGGGACAGAATAATGATTCACAGACGTAAATGAGACAGGCAGACAAAGGTAGAAAAAAGGTGAGGCGAGTACTGTGGAAATAGTCGAATATGGCATAGAGTGGGGTGATGGTAGTTTGAAGTCAGAAACCGACTGTCTGTTAATAGACTTTTTTGCCGTGTCAATGTGTACGTTGCCCAGGGTGCACCACGTGGAGGTAAGTCTAAATATACATTGCCCAGGGTGCACCACGGAGGTAAGTCTATTGCACACCCCATGATACCTATCATAACGCCTGCCATTTGAAAGTACGTTGTCCAGGGTGCACCACGTGGAGGTAAGTCTATCGTATTCTTAAGAATAATTGTTTAGAAAACCAGCAAGGGTTGAGCACCCCATACCAGGTGAGTAAGAAAGATAAGGTCCATAAGATACACACAAAAAATGGACCAAGAAGCATAAGGCGTATAAGGGGTGAAAGGAAATGATCTCAGTGTTCCAGCACTACAAGTCAAGCCACCTCTATTTGGCTTGTCTTCTTCAGTCTTCAGATAATTCTACCGATAAACCAACTGGTCGCAGCTTTCTGTTTTGTGTCCCAATTAAAGATATGTCTTGGAGTAAACTTGGCACCAAAATCCAAGTACCTTCCTTCTATACTGTTCGATGGTCTTGATATGACAGTGCTGTAATAGTTCGTTCACAACTTGGCTAAGCTGGGACCGCATTTCTGCAAGTAAGAACCAATGAGTAGAGTAGCAAGGACTTCAAATCAAACGTGGATATTACTATACTGTTCGACTAGAAGAGATATTTTGATCATCCATTGAAGAGCAGGATAATTCGATGGAGGCTATCTGGTCAAGTTTGCAAACGGAGTCACCACTTAGCTGGTGCAGACCGAGTTTCCTAGTTCTCGATTATTACTGTCTTAGTTGACTCCCAAAGGGGCGATTATGTAGGAAAACGGCCCTGCAACTTTACGGTTAAAATAGGGTGGGAGAGAGAAATCGATTCAGTAGATACAAAGAGAAAGCAGGTGTAGTATATTGGATTGTGTTACTAGGGTGTATTTAAGTAGTTCAGTCTGGGAACGAGGTAACACAGACCATAGTAGACATGACAACACGGGACGCCTGAAGTCAAATTGTGTTCTCAGCAGGAGATTATGATAAATATGGTTTCCAGTTGTGTGCAAAGTTCAATCGGACCTTGGATTTCGGATCAAAATAAGCCCTTGTTATAGCTGATAGCCTCTCCTTTCTATGGGATTACATTAGATTGCTTTAGAGCTGGTTAGCTTGATGGTCAACAAATACAGAGCTTGAAGCTATTGGAATGTGCGGAAGGGTTTTTAACCTTTGGACTTAATCTTCAAATAAGTCACAAACATTTCGATATTTTTATTATGCCTGAGCACTTGTAGGAGTTACCCATCAACTTTCCTAACAATTAACGGAATATGATATTTTTCTCGTGAAATTAAGGCAAAAGCAAGCAAACCAACGGTTGAAGGAGGCCAGGGAACGTGAGTCGGCGAAGATGCGGGAAGAGAAAAACCGCAAGGCAGAAATGGAAGCGATGCGCAAGGAGCTAGCAAGAACCTCATACACCCAATGGGAATTACGCAAGGTAAGACAAAACCCCACCTGGGTGTAGACAACCAGGCTGTAGTTAGTAAAGACCATTCTCCCTTCACAGGCCTTCCGAAATCAGAGTACCAGAAATGCCTCCTCAAATCAGCCGCTGGTTGCAAAGCCACCGTGGAGACCTACTTCTGCACGAATCAATTTGCCCCTATCCTAAACACTTTTGCACACACATATTTCTATCAACTCTTTTAAACTACAAATGGCTCTTACTTTTATATACAAGGTTAATTCTTATCGAGATTCCCCTATGATATCTGCATCAAAGTGCTATATGATCCGATAACTTTAGCATTTCTGTAATAACAGACGTGTGCATAAACTGCACCGCAAAGTCAAATAGTTATGACCACAAAATTGCACTATAACTACTCTTCTTGCAAATTGAATCTTAGATAAGCACCTACAGTTACATGTGAGAGGGATTTAAACTTGTCATGAGCTAGCCTGAGTCCCTTTAATTATGAAAATCAATTTCATGACCAGTAGTAACGAGTTATTATATTTATATCATGAGAAGGCTACTGAGACAGAAAAATTTTGGATTGCAACATATTAAACTATACAGCTCTAGAGGCACGTCAATAGAGACACTGGAACGACCAGTCTCCATTAGGAAGAAGACTGTCCAGCCGAGATTTTCTTCAATGAGGCGGAGACAGCACGGATGGCAG